ATAGCATATATATCTAAAAAATATTCCCTAAGCGCTAATCCCTAAGCTATAGATTGTGAACACTAACCTCTTAACACATAACAATAAACCATAAACCCTAAACCCTTTAACCTTAAACCATCCATAAATCCATATCCACGAGAAAATATATTTAATATATATACCCTAAGCACTATAATACTAAAAATAAAATCTAAACCCTATTCTCTATACCCTAAACAATTAACCCTTACTCTATTTAATATACCCTAAACAAAACAAAACAATATTGTTTAGAATATGGTTTTTATGGTTTCTTAACATTTTACTCACCATTTTTAAACATGATTTTAAAGCAACGATTAATTATTGTTTTTTTATGAAGTCATCAACCCGTTTATACTCAGCATATAAAAAAATTCATCTCGTATCCACAACATTATATCCATGTGTATAGATATATATATCGTAATCCAATGAATATATTATCAAAGCGGAGAATTAGCTAGCAACACGAGTTTAGGTTAAACATGGGTGACTCTATAAATATGACATAAACCATAACACAACCTATCCAAAGTGAAATTTGTTTTGTAATTCTGATTATGATTAGAGATTCACAAGAAAGCGTAACTATGAGTGGTGTTCTCGAAAGCAATGAAGATAGCGAGGGTTCAAATGTCATTGAGGTTGTTGTAATGTATTTTTAGGATAATGATTATGTCAGAATGATAGTTTAAAAATCTGTTTAAATTTTGTAGGAGATTCCAATGAGGGAATTTCACATTCCTCAGCCGTTAATGGATATCATCGTGAGTAAGGTTGGTGAAGATGGTGTTGATGCGTTGAAGAACTTGTTGCTCGCTGGGAGAGAGGGGAAGGATGCTGTTCTGTCGAAGGAAACCTTAGCATCCGTTCGCATCGACATGGACAATCATTTCATGTGGTGGTCAATGCCACATTCAAAGTACTACACTTTCTTCCAAAAGTGTCTTGCCGCGAATAATCCATATGCGAAGTTTGTAGAGAAGAACAAAGGAGTGGCTTATGAGTCGACGATAGGGTACTTTCAAATGAGATGTCGTTGGAAGGTCTGCCACAATAAACGCTGCAGGGGTTTGATGAACCTGGATGACATGAAAAAGTGCGTGGTGCAGCCACGTTTTAAGCGGGAGAGAACTGGGAGGCCAAGGTGCCGTATGTGCAACAAAGCTGGGCACAAGTGTATGGATTAAGGATTGTAGGATGTTGCCGGGGATTATGGGGAAGAGTTCATTAGTAGTATGATCTATTTTTTCTGGAATGTTATTTGGTTATAATCCAATATGTAAAGCGGGATGTTGTTTTTGGTTACCCTATTAGTTTAAAGTTGAACGGAAATGTAAAAATATTTAAGATTGTTGGGATGTTTTTGTTAAATTTGATGGTTTTTGTTAAATTTGATGTAAGAACATTGTTTTGCTGTCCATGTAATAGTATCCATTTAATAGTTAATCATAAATTAATAATTTAAAACGTTTAAATAAAATTTAGAAAAACTATTTCCACCTATGTCAAACCTTTTAATATCAACGGGGATTTAGTAAGGTAAGAGCGGAAAAATTCACTCCAAAACCCTATAGCATATATATCTAAACATTAAAACCTAAACACACAACCGTAAACACTAAACCCTAAAATTTAAACAATAAAAGCTAAACCCTAAACACTAAACCCTAAACCCTGAACACTAAACACTAAAAATTAAACAATAAACCCTAACCC